GTCCAGCACCTGGGCGCCGGCCAGCGCCGCCACCGTGTCGCCGCCGCCGGCCACGCTCAGCAGCCGCCCGGCGCGGGTGTAGTCGGCCACGGCCTTGGCGACGAGGTTGGTGCCGGTCTCGAAGGGCGGCACCTCGAAGGCGCCGAGCGGCCCGTTCCACACCAGGGTCTTCACCTCGCCCAGGCGGTTGACGATGTGCTCGGCCGTGGCCGGGCCGACGTCCAGGATCATCCGATCGTGCGGCACCTGCTTGATCGGCACGGTGTCGTAGGGCGGATTGGCGACCAGCGCGTGGGCCACCAGCGCGTCGGTCGGCAGCAGGATGTCGCAGTCGTTGGCCTTGGCCCGGCGCACGATCTCCTGCACCGTTTCGGCCATCTCCGCCTCGCAGAGCGAGGCACCGACGTCGACGCCCAGGGCGTGCAGGAAGGTGTTGGCCATGCCGCCGCCGACGATCAGGAGCTGCACTTTCTCGACCAGGTTGCCCAGCAGGTCCAGCTTGGTCGAGACCTTGGCGCCGCCGACGATCGCCGCGACCGGGCGCTCGGGCTGTTCCAGCGCGCGGGTCAGCGCCTCCAGCTCCTGCTGCATCAGGCGCCCGGCGGCGGCCGGCCGGCGCCGGGCCAGCGCCTCGACCGAGGCATGGGCGCGGTGCGCGGCGGAAAAGGCGTCGTTGACGTAGAGGTCGCCGAGCGCCGCCAGGCCGGCGGCGAAATCGGGGTCGTTGGCCTCCTCGCCGGCGTGGAAGCGCAGGTTCTCCAACAGCAGCACCTCGCCCGCGGCCAGCTCGCCCACCGCGGCCTCGGCCGCCGGGCCGACGCAGTCCTCGGCGAAGGCGACCNNGGCGCCCCAGCACCGCGCCGGCGGCCGCCGCGACCGGCCGCAGCGACATCTCGGGCACCCGCTTGCCCTTCGGCCGGTCGAAGTGGGCGAGCAGCACCACCTTGGCGCCGCGCCCGGTCAGGTCGTCGATCGTCGCCCGCGTGCGCTCGATCCGCGTGGCGTCGCTCACCTGCCCCTGCTGGAGCGGCACGTTGTAGTCGACGCGGACCAGCACCGTCTTGCCGGAGACCTCGAGGTCGTCGATCGTCTTGAAGCTGGGCATGGGCTCCTGCCTGTCGGTTGGGCGGGGACGACTGTGCGATTGCGCCAGCGCAAGGCCGGGCGTGCGCGCCGAGTGATACTCGATCTGCCTGGCGCGCGCCAAGGCGTGCCGCACCGCAAGCGGGGACCGGACCCTCTCGTGCACAGACTGCTCCTTCTCCTGCTGCTCGCCGCCGCGCTGGTCGGTGGCTGGCTCTGGTGGGACAGCCGCCCGCCGAAGGTGGCCGTGACCGTGCCCCAGCGCGGCCCGGCCGTCGAGGCGGTCTACGCCACCGGCGAGGTGGCGCCGACCCGCGAGGCGGAGCTGGCCTCGACCGAGACCGGCCGCATCCGCGCCTATCCCGTGGTCGAGGGCCAGCCGGTGCTGTCCGGCGAGGTGCTGGTGCAGCTCGACGATCTCACCGCCCGCGCCGAGCTGGAGGCGCTGCTGGCGCGTGTCGAGTTCCTCCAGGGGGACCTGGAGCGGGCGCGCCGCCTGCTTGCCGGCGGCCATGTCTCGCGCCAGGCCTACGATCTGAAGAAGTCGGAGCTGGATCAGGCGGTCGCCGCCGCCGAGGCGCAGCGCCAGAAGCTGTTGGATCTGACCCTGGTGGCGCCCTTCGATGCCGTGGTGCTGCGCAAGGAGCACGAGATCGGCGAGGTGGTGCAGCCGGGCGACGTGCTGCTCTGGCTCGGCAGCGCGCGGCCCTACTGGATCGAGGCGCAGGTCGACGAGGAGGACATTCCGCGCGTCTCGCTCGGCCAGACCGCACTGATCAAGGCCGACGCCTTCGCCGGCGCAAACCTGCGCGCGCGGGTGGCGGAGCTCACGCCGATGGGCGATCCTGTCAACAAGCAGTACCGGGTGCGCCTGATCCTGCCGGCCGACTCGCCGCTGATGATCGGCATGACGGTGGAGGTCAACATCCTGGTCCGCCAGGAGGCCGCCGCCCTGCTGATCCCGGAGACGGCCCTGGTGGGCGAGGCCGTCTTCCTGGTCGAGCGCGATGCCGAAGGTCGGCCGGTGGCGCGGCGGCGGCCGCTCACGCTGGGGGTCTACGGCGACGGCCGGGTCGAGGTGCTGCGCGGGCTGGCGGCCGATGCACGGCTGCTGGCCGCGCCGCCGGCCGGGCTGGCCGACGGCGACCGCCTGCGCCTGGCGGAGACGGCCGGGGCGCCCGCGGGCGCGACGCGGCAGGGCGCGGAGGAGGACAGGGAGCCATGAGCGGCCTGCTCGGCCTGGTCGCGGACATCGCGCTGGGCCACCTGAGGAAGCGCAAGCGCCAGACCGCCGTGTCCCTGGTCGGGGTGGCGCTGGGCGTCGGCTTCTTCATCGCCGTGGCGGCGCTGATGCAGGGCTTCCAGCAGTATTTCGTCGCCAAGATCATCGACGTCAGCCCGCATGTCACCATGAAGGACGAGTACCGCGCGCCGCCGGCGCAGCCGGTCGAGCAAGCCTTCGGCGGCGGCGCCGTGCGCCTGGTCGGCGTTAAGCCGAAGGAGGAGCTGCGCGGGATCAAGAACGGGCTGGCCAAGGTCGCCGAGCTGGAGCGGCTGCAGGGGGTCGCGGTGGCGCCGATGCTGACCGGGCAGGTGATCCTGCGCTACGGCTCGCGCGACGTCTCCGCCCAGATCCAGGGCATCGAGCCGGCGCGCGAGCGCCGCGTGTCCAACCTGGAGCGCGACATGACGGCTGGCGCGCTCGACGACCTCTTCACCACCGCCAACGGGGTGATCCTGGGTGCCGGCCTGGCCGAGAAGCTGGGCGCCGAGCCGGGCGACAGCGTCACCGCGCTGTCGACGGCGGGGGTGGTGCTGAAGATGAAGGTGGTCGGCCTCTACGCCACCGGCATCACCGAGATGGACAATGCCCAGGGCTATGCTCTGCTGAAGAAGGTGCAGGTGCTGGAGGACCGGCCCAACGTGATCAACCGGGTGCGCCTCAAGCTGGCCGAGGTCGACGGCGCCGAGCCGCTGGCCCGCCGCATCGAGGCGCGCTACGGCTACCGCACGGAGTCCTGGGAGGAGGCCAACCAGAACGTCCTCGGCATCTTCGTCATCCAGAACGCCATCATGTACTCCACCACCGGCGCCATCCTGGTGGTGGCCGCCTTCGGCATCTTCAACATCATCTCCACGGTGGTGCTGGAGAAGGTGCGCGACATCGCCATCCTCAAGTCGCTCGGCTTCGAGTCCCGCGACGTCGAGCGGATCTTCGTGGTGGAGGGGCTGCTGGTCGGGCTGGCCGGCATGCTGCTCGGCTGGGCCCTGGGCTGGCTGCTGATCGAGCTGCTGGCCCAGGTGCGCTTCACGATCGAGGGTTTCGTCAAGTCGGAGGGCTTCAAGCTCGACCGCGGCTTCCTCAACTACGCCCTGGCCGGCGCGGCGGCGGTGACCGCGGCCACCCTGGCCGCCTACCTGCCGGCGCGCCGGGCCGCGCGGGTCGACCCGGTGGAGATCGTGCGTGGCGCCGCCTGAGCCGTCTCCGGGTGGGTCGCCCGATCCCTGCGCGGCGGCGAAGCCCGCGGCGGGACCGCTGCTGCGCGCCGAGCGGGTCACGCGGGTGCTCAGCGGCCCGCAGGCCGGGGCGGTGCCGGTCACCCTGGTCGAGGAGGTCGACCTGACCATCGGACGCGGCGAGTTCGTGGCGATCACCGGGCCCAGCGGCTCGGGCAAGTCCTCGCTGCTCTATCTGCTCGGCCTGCTCGACCGGCCGAGCCGGGGCGAGGTCTACCTCGACGGCCAGCCGACCTGCGGGCTCAGCGACGCGCGGCGGGCTCGGCTGCGGCTGGAGAAGCTGGGCTTCGTGTTCCAGTTCCACTTCCTGCTGCCGGAGTTCGACGCCCTGCGCAACGTCACCCTGCCGCTGCGCAAGCTGGGCCGCCTCTCGGCCGCCGAGGTCGACGCGCGCGGCCGGCAACTGCTGGCCGAGCTCGGCCTGGAGGCGAGCGCGGGCAAGACGCCCGACCAGCTCTCCGGCGGCCAG